CACGATCGAAAAAAAAAAAAATATGGGAAAGATGTTAGAAAACAAGTTTCTGATGTCGGTAAATAGATTTTTATTCTTATTTTTTAGGAAAAAATTGTTCTATTTCAAGTGGTTAAAAAGTTATTTTTTTTTTCATTGGCAATATCTATGTGGCATCAAATTGTGAAACTCTGTATATTTTCAATTGAAGTGAGAGGAAACAATCACTCACTGCACATGCCCCATTCCTTAACTCCAAAAAGACGAGCATGAAGAGCCTTTTGCACGTCTTTTCTGTTCGGGTACACGTACGTTTCATCCTCTACACATACATCTATCTTCGACTCATATTTCTATGAACACATCATCAATGTCGAGAACATCTCAAAAAGAAAAAGGAAAAAAAAAAAAGAAAAAAGAACAATAGCACGAATGAATGAATAGGCATTTGAGTATATATCTTGTTTTTGACTAAAGACTGCGCCTTTTCGACTAAAAGATAGTCATAGCATTTGTAATAAAACCTAAGTGAAATCGAACTCACCAATTTATTGAGAACCTGAGCTTGAAACATAGCAGGCGACGGACAAACATCAAGAGCGACATCATATTGATCCACAAAATGACTTATCTCGGATGAACAAAGGTCCAAAATCCTTTGGCATTCAGGTGTTGCTGTGTTGGTGTCAAATAATTGCACACGAAGGTCAATTGTTTATATGTGAAATCAGATATCAGACTGTGAGACCACCAAAACTCGGGTACCGAGTTCAAATCTGTATCGAATTCCAAAAGAGGATTTCCTATCTGTTTACCATCAGCAAAAATCAAGAAAATGTATTTTAGCAACTTTACTTCTTTTTAATATTAAGGAATTGATTTAGAGGTTACTCACTGCAATTCCTTTGAGGTTGAACATTTTAGCTCTTGTTTTAATAATGAGTATAGCCAGTTGTGGAATATAATGCCCTGTTTAGAAAAAGAACATGCCTTTTCAATGTTAATATCACTCAACAAAGATGAAAATAATATATATACATATAAAACATACCTGCATAACTTTCTCCAGTGATGTATAATATTCTATTCTTGTATTCTGGGAATCTGTTAATCCACTTCTCTAGGAAGTAGAGGTTATCGCTAGCTAAAAGAACAACAAACATACTTAGACTAAATGTGTGGTAAACTAGCGATTACACAGTATTACATTACATGAAATTAACTACAAATTATTAAATGTGTTAATGGTGTTAAGGCACAAACCTGTGATTTCGTCGTTAACATAATTGTAGAAGGATTTATTAGTAGAATATGAAAATCCAACTCCAGCTGGTGATTCCAAGTACAACATATTTGCAACTGCAAAAAGTGTATTTGGTATTAAAACAACCCTCACTTAATCAAGAATGTAGTAAGAAGGAGAAACTTTCACATGAATTAACTGATTACCTTTATTCCAGCTGTAGTTATTTCTAACCAACACCTCCCCACTTGGTCGAAATGGACCATTTTCAGTTAATCCTCCACCTCCAAGAGACGAGCAGCCGGGCCCTGTAAAATTGAAATCTTTTCATTGTTTCCACTACAAAAATATTGTCATATTCAAATGAAAAATACAACCATAATATTGTTCAATGAAAATTTCAATGCATATTTCAACGGTATAGCTTTCGTTGGATGATTCCGACGATAATATTCTGGTAGAATGAGTTTTCTATTGAAATTTTAATTGGAATTTAATTATTCCAATTACTATTGTTTCAATGGTGTATTACCTGTTGGTATATGTGTCCTAGAGACAATCTTTTTAAGGACATACATACATGATCATATTAATAATTATATTAGATTATAATTATGGTATTACAATTAATTAAATAATTATTTGATTATTTACAATTTATTAATTAATTGCTCCTTGAGTTAATACTGTCATTAACACAGTGAGATATTAATTGATAAAATATAACTCTCAAATAGCCTCAATCGATGATCATTAAGAAAGAGATATTAATGATACGCGATAGATTGACATGTGGTCTGCATCACATGCTTAGAGAATATAATATGTCTCAGTGCTATGAATAATTGTTATTCGTGATGGACACATGGATACTTTGGAAAGTATTGGTATACCCTACCGATAAAATATTTGTTTATGTGTCTATGGGAGTATCGGTGTGTGGAATGATGTAATAGTCTTTTGACTTGAAGTTAATACGCAATTCATGTATAGAGTGATTTACTTAGACCTAATCAGACGCTTACGCCCTTATGGGTAGACACGGGCTTGTGTTGGGTAGATCACGATATGCATGAAATTGGTAGTTGAGCCAAGATAAGATTCATTGCTCGAATATAGTTTCGAGAGAACACTCGTTTTCTCTATACTGGGTTGATAAAGTCATTGGCTAATGCACGTGATTATATTTGAAATGGTGTTCAAATATAATTGATAAAATCAACCAGTATGATGAAATAAAATGATTAAGCTCACACGTTCAAATCTTAAGCTTAATCGAGTGTTCGTGAATGAAGGAACCGTATCACTATTGAGTTCTACACTAAAGTTTTGTTTGCTTTGTCTATGTAAACGTACTTCATATTTTGAGTTCGTCCTTCAACGCAGTCTAGGAGTTTCGTAAGGATCATAAATTAGATTTATGTCAATATATGAAGGCCTATAGGGTCACACATATGCAATCTATTTTCCGGCTAAGAGTGAATCGAGAGTATTAAATATTCAATTAAATTGAAATATTTACTTTTGAGTAATTAAATTATTTTCTATTAGATAGAAAATATTTAATTAAATTAAATTAGACTTACACTTAATTAAATCATTAATTGGATTAGGTCCAATTACCTATTGGGCTAGGTTATTCTAAGGCCCATATAATTAGGTCTGACCTAATTATAAATAGGTCATTATCTTTTTGTAGTCTTTGAAGATCATTAGATGAGAAAAAAAGAATACACCGTAAGAACTCAAAACTCTCTCTGGCTTTCTGACTGAGGATTCATAGCGTCTTCACAGGAAATGATTCATTGCGTTAAATTGTGCACCGGGATCTGGATTGCGTGGATACCATAGTTGAAGACAAAGCTTAAACTGTAAGTTTTAGTTAATCATTCACGCGATCTAAGATCGTATCGAATAGATATAGCCGGATCTTCGTTGTTGGTAACAAAATTTTAAAATTCCGTTGCGCGTGTAATTGATTCGTACGTCGAAAATCCAACATTACCGTCGTCAGAATATGCAATTTCAGTCGGAATTTTTTTATCTCCACTCATATTTCAACTGTTGGAAAATTTAAAATCCACCAGAAATTCTAATGAAAAATTAATCCCAAATGAAATAGTTGCACTGAAATAGCCATTGAAATTGCCTTTTGAATTCCTTAAAATATATTATGTTGTAATTTTATCATTTTTTTTAGTGTCATATCCGAAAATTGCATAAAACCATTGTAAAGACTGGATTTTTATTTGGGCTTTGTATTTTCTTGAATCAAAGAAGAAAACTTAAAGACAAAATCTTCATCTCTTACTAATAAGTGTCGAAAAAGAAAATCGTATCTCGACTAATACCAATGTCCATCAATATTAAGTGTAGGTATTTAGACATTATACTTTCGATATAACTATGTTTCATTCCATATTTTAATTACATCCTTTATCCCTTATGCTTTGATCATCTTCTTTTCATACTTCAAGATTATTTATTGCAAGTATACAATTGAAATTTTTTCTAATACGACAAATAATTAAAAATGAAAAAATAAACCTAAAACTACATTTAGTTGTAAACACGAAGGGACTTATTTCATCGACATACCTCCGTTTAACCAGAGAACAAGAGGCTTTGAATCAGGATCGGTTTCTGCTTCCACAAAGTAATAAAAAAGGTGTCTTTCCTGTTTTTCGTCCACGTTAATGTAGCCTGAATATTATTTTTTAGAAATCATACCTACAAATGAATGGTCTAAAAGTCAATTAGTTTCCAAGGCAATTGAGGCCACATACCATCTTTTGTCTTAATCTCATGCATGCTCTTGGTAATAATTTCGGGCAAGAAAGTGAGTTTAAGTCACTGTTTTCTTCAAAGAAGACATTTTCAAATTTTATATTACAAACTTGTCCGAGTAACTTTAATAAATTATATTTTATTATTTTTTAGAAATCATACCTACAAATGAATGGTCTAAAAGTCAATTAGTTTCCAAGGCAATTGAGGCCACAAAGTAATAAAAAAGGTGTCTTTCCTGTTTTTCGTCCACGTTAATTAATGTAGCTGACCTTGGAAAGCAATGAGATTAAGAACATCTTTACCGTTATTTTGTAAAAACTCATACCATCTTTTGTCTTAATCTCGGTAAAGATGGTACTTAAAACATTGATCACGAAATATAAGTTCTTAATCTCATTGCTTTCCAAGGCAATTGAGGCCACATAAAAGCTCAAATAACGTGACTCACTCGTACATTCAAAGAAAACAAAAGAGAACGAGAAAAGAAAAGGCAAATATTTTGACATATATAATTAACGAACAAGTAAACCTTTAATTTTCTTCAGAACAAGAACACAAACGCACAAATAAAGACAAAGGGAGACCCAAGACTTACGTTTTGTCACCAAGCTTCAAACTAATTGACTTTTAGACCATTCATTTCATTTGTAGGTATGATTTCTAAAAAATAATAAAATATAATTTATTAAAGTTACTCGGACAAGTTTGTAATATAAAATTTGAAAATATCTTCTTTGAAGAGAACCGTGACTTACTTTCTTGCCCGAAATTATTACCAAGAGCATGCATGAAATTAAACAGTAATTTTCACAAATATTTTTCAAGTATAAAAATCCCTAAACCTCACCCTTAATAAAATCACCTCTCACCAAAACTTCCTTAATTTTCTATTCTGCCTCTCAAGTCTCACAAAATGACAACTCAAGCATGGTCATTAACCTTGCTAATAATATGTGCATTTCATATTATTATTGTAATGACAAAAATAGTGGCGTGCCAATCAAAAGAAGCTGATAAGATATCAAGTTTACCTGGCCAACCAAATGCCAAATTCCAGCAATATTCAGGTTACATTAACGTGGACGAAAAACAGGAAAGACACCTTTTTTATTACTTTGTGGAAGCAGAAACTGATCCTGATTCAAAGCCTCTTGTTCTCTGGTTAAACGGAGGTATGTCGACTAAAATAATTCCCTTCGTGTTTAAATGTTGTTTTATGTTTATTTTTTGAATTTTTATTTATTTNATCAATTGTATTCTTGCAATCAATCTGAAAGTATGAAAAGAAAGATGATCAAAGCATAAGGATAAATGTGCAGATTATGAATTGTTAAAAAAATAATAAGACTAAGATAATTGACAGTTTTATAAGTACATGATGTAAGTAATTTGTATGTAATATCATATATGATTGTATACTTTATAATATTTTATAAACTTAATATTTAATAAAATTTATATCTTAAATAGTCAAGACCTACAAAAAATATGAAAGAAATATTAGCAAACAAATAATTTCATATTATTATTGAATTGAAATCGTGTTGAATAAAATTACATATTGTTTTGAATAATTTAATAACTTTTAAATAATAAAATATTTTTATAGTATACTCCGTGCATAGCACGGGTATCAATGCTATTAAGGGGTAAAGGACATAATTAACATATGGAATGAATAATATCATAGTTATATAGAAAGTAATATCTAAATACCTACACACTACAAAAAAAATGTTATATTCCAATGAAAAATCCTATGGTAATATATTCCAATGGAAATTCCAACGGATATTCCAATGGTATAGCTTCCGTTGGAATGATTCCAACGGAAATTCCAACAAAAATATTCCGTTGGAATGTATTTTTCATTGAAATTTTAGTTGGAATTTGATGATTCCAACGGCTATATTTCCAACGGCTTTTGACTTGTAGGAATTTCCGTTGGAATTTTTATTTCCATCACCGTTGGAATCGTCAAAATCCAACGAAAATTCCAATGGAATACTCATTCCAACGGAATATTTTTGTTGGAATTTACATTGGAATAATTCCAAAGGAAATAATAATATTGAAATATACATTGGAATTGTCGTTGAAATTCTATTGGAATATAATTCCGTTGGAATTTCATCATTTTCTTGTAGGTACACTTATTGACGGACATTGGTATTTTCTTTTTTTTTTTCTTTCCTTTTTTCTTATACTTATTGTTAAATAGATGAAGATTTTGTCTTTTAAGTTCTTCTTCTTTTGATTCAAGAAAATACAAAGCTCAATAAAAATCCAGTCTTTACGACGTTTTTTGTGCAATTTTCGGACATGACACTATATAAAATTCCAACGAAGATATATTCCAATGGAAGCAATAACAATGGCAATTCCAATGCAACTATTACGGTTGGAACTTCTGTTATTTTAATGATTCCTATAGTAGATTTTCCAACGGTTGAAATTACATATTGCAAAGACGGTAATTCAACACTGAAAAAATGATCACTGAAATCATCTAATTCCAACTAAAATTCTAATTATAAATTCATTCCACGAAATATTTGCGTTGGAATTGTCCCAACGAATGTTACATCGTTGGAATATCCATTGAAATTTTCCATTGAATATATTATTGTTGAATTTTTCGTTGGAATATAATGAAAAAAAAAAAAAAAAAAAAATCGTAGTGGAAACAATGAAAAGATTTCAATTTTACAGGGCCCGGCTGCTCGTCTCTTGGAGGTGGAGGATTCACTGAAAATGGTCCATTTTATCCGAGAGGGAAGGTTTTGGTTAGAAATAACTACAGCTGGAATAAAGGTAAATTAGTTAATTCATCTGAATGTTCCTCCTTCTTACTACATTCTTGATTAAGAGATGGTTGTTTTAATACCAAATACACTTATTTGCAGCTGCAAATATGTTGTACTTGGAATCACCAGCTGGAGTTGGATTTTCATATTCTACTAATAATTCCTTCTACGAATATCTTAACGACGAAATCACGGGTTTGTGAGCATTAAGACATTTAATATTTCGCAGTTTCGTGTAATGTAATATTATGTAATCGGTAGTTATTTAGTCTAAGTTTGTTGTTCTTTTTAGCTAGAGATAACCTCAACTTCCTAGAGAAATGGATTGACAGATTCCCAGAATTTATAAATAGAACATTATACATCACTGGAGAAAGTTATGCAGGTATGTTATATATGAATATATTTTGTTGAGTGATAATATCATTTAAAAGTCATTCGAGAATGAAAAAGGCATGCTCTTTTTTCTAAACAGGGCATTTTGTTCCTCAACTGGCCAGCCTCGTTATTGAATCAAAAGCTGATAAGTTCAACCTCCAAGGAGTTGCAGTGAGTAACCTCTAAATCAATTCCTTAATGTTACAAAGAAGCAAAGCTGCTGAATACATTTTCTTTATTTTTGCTGATGGTAAACAGATTGGAAATCCACTTTTGGATTTCAGTAAAGATTACAACTCACACGCCGAGTTTTGGTGGTCTCACGGTCTGATATCTGATTCCACTTATAACCAATTGACTCACGTGTGCAATTATTCTCAAATAATAAGCCAATATTACACCAACACAACAACACCTGAATGCCAAAGGATTTGGGAACTTTGTTCGTCCGAGATAGGTCATTTTGTGGATTACTATGATGTCGCTCTTGATGTTTGTCCGTCGCCTGCTATGTTGCAAGCTCAGGTTCTCAATAAATTGGTGAGTTCGATTTCACTTAGGTTGCGTTTTACAAATGCTGAAAACAACTAATTACTAGCTTTTGTTCGAAAAGGAAATAAATACTCAAATGCCCATTCATTCATGGCTTCATGCTTTTATTTATATTTTTTATTTTTTTGAAAAGTTTTTTATTTTATGATATGTTCATAGATATATGAGTCGAAGATAGATGTATGTGTAGAGGATGAAGCGCAGGCGTACCTGAATAGAAAAGACGTGCAAGAGGCTCTTCATGCTCGTCTTTTTGGAGTAAATGAATGGAGCATGTGCAGCGAGTAATTGTTTCCTCTCACTTCAATTGAAAATATATGAGCTTAAAAAAAAAAATCTAACATCTTTCCCATTTTTTTCCTATTTTAGCTTCTAATTTCATTTGTTTGACTTCAGTGTTGTAGGATATTTAGTGCAAGATATAGAAATGCCGACCGATGGCATTTTAGGATTACTAGTGAAGTCCAACATTCGAGTCTTAGTTTACAGGTAAGCCCTCACAATGAGGTTAATAATTAAATATGATGGTCACTTGCGCAATTTACTGGAGTTTCGAAAACTAATGTTGCGAAAATGTCGTACAGTGGGGACCAAGATTCTGTTATCCCACTGATTGGGACCCGAACGCTGGTTAACAAGTTGGCTGAACAACTCGGTTTGAACACAACTCAACCATACAGAGCTTGGTCGGAAGCAAATCAGGTCTGAAATTCATATATATGTGTCTGAAATGCTTATATACTAGCAAATCACTTAACTGTTTTCTAAATCAGGCTAAAAAAATGCTAGTGTTAGCATTTTGTAATTCTTGGACAACTTAAAGACAAAAAAAAAAAAAATAAATAGATAAACTTTTGATGCTTTCATAGGTTGCTGGGTGGACACAATCCTACGGTGAATATTTATCGTTTGCGACTATTCGTGGGGCCTCACACATGGCTCCATTCTCGCAACCCAAGAGGTCTCTTCTTATGTTCAACTCATTTTTGGCGGGAAAATCGCTGCCGATTGTGAAGGGATAACTAAATCAATCACTTGTTAGACACATATATATGAAGCTTGATGGCATATGAATAAAAGAGTTTGGTAGATGAATATTAATGTATTTTGAGTTATTATGTGATTTATTGGTGTACTGTTTTGAAACTTGAGTGTGTTTGGAGCGATTTTGATTTTTGGGGCCTTGATGTTAATTTTAGCAGCTCATTTTTATTATGTATTTACATACAGTACATGAGTCTCAATTTCAAATCTCAATCACTTATTATGTCTTACAGAATACCTGAGTGAGACGTCGCTTTACAAGTTATAAAGTGTATAAATAAATAAATAAGTAATGGCAAAGTTATAAATTGTGTGATTGAAAAAATAATAATAATTTGAAATTATTTATGTAATGTAATCTAAAGTTAACTCATGGCTGAGTTTAAAACAAATGATATAAATATTACAATAGTGAATATACTAATTTATACTATATAGAGAATTTTATGAACTGAGAAAATTTTATGAACTTAGAAATAATATCATTTGTTTATAATTATATAGAACATATGTATAAAGTCCAATATCGTAAAAAGCGAGTATTAATTCAATATACTGAACAAAGGATGTTAAAAACATCAAATTTGTACCTGTGAATATTCTATAAAATCGACTGCTTTGACATGTATCATACTCTCTGTAAAAATCATACATGTAAAAATCAATAGTAAAAGCCACAAACAACAAAAACACAACATACTTCAATTTAATAATTAGATTCCAGCTCACTAATTCTCCAATAGAGTCCAATAAAAACCAAACATTTCCATCAAAAGCATTCACTGATTTGCTGCAGTCATTAAAACACAATCCAAAGACTAACCGATAGGACAAAAAACCTTAAACTAGACATTGTTCTCATTAATCATAATAATTAATTGAGATGGAAATAATATGGGAGAAATTAGTCGTGCAAAGTTCCCAGAATGTCTTGATCTCGGTAAAGATGGTACCTAAAACATTGATCACAAAATAAGTTTCTTTAATCTCATAGTTTTTCAAGGCAAGAGGCTATATAAAAGCTCAAATAACATGACTCACTCGTACATTCAAAGAAAACAAAAGAGAACGAGAAAAGAAAAGGCAAACATTTTGACATAATTAACGAATAAAGACTTACGCTTTGTCACCAAGCTTCACTTCAGAACCTCCATACTCGGGCAGCAAAACAGTGTCTCCTTCTTTCAGACTCAACGGAATAATCTTGCCCTCCGTGTCATGATAACCGGGACCCACAGCAACAACTTTTCCAGTGTTCAGCTGAAGCTCGACAGATTAAAAAAGATCAAATTTCAGTACAGTAAATTTAAAAACGTCAGCAAATTATCGAGCTCCAAACAGCTGGTCAATAGAGTAGAACAAACTTAAGCTTGATAAAATGAGATCCTACTGATAGTTAATCGTCAAGAAGAATTAGAATATAAAAAGGTTACAGGAAATTATTCTTTCGAGTGGTACATTGAAATTCGGATAGTCTTGTATCATAATTTCTCTGTGTTCTAAGTTGACCAAACATATCAGGTAAGGAATTAACCAAAACCATCCACAAAACAAACTGTGCTAAATAGTAAATACCATTTATACTAAAAGAAGTTTCATTTATACTAAAACCATCACAAAACCCATGGGTTCAGTTTATTTCTGTGTTCTGCTTTAGCTCATTTAAGCTTTCCAGTAAGGGTACAGTAAGTGAGTGTATTCATACATTTTATTTCACAGTAATACAAAGAATAAACAACGAAGAAATGTTAAACATAAATCACAATGATACATGTTGTAAACAACTCAATAAACAAAATTCATAATGCTACATATTCACAGGCAGTCGAGCAAAACGCCGAAAACAAAATCAGTTTACTGGAGAAGAAAACCTAAGCAAACAGATCAAACAATAAAGAATCAAAAAAGGCATGACAAGACACATGGAAATTCATATATATATAAAGGAGATCAACCGCACGACCATTCATATTCAGCGTCACAGCAGAGCCAAAAAAAAAGTGTTAAAAATGAAAAATAGAAACAAGAAACACCGACCCATTACCGTTTTGCTCACCTGCCCAACAAGATTAACTTCTAAATATGTTTCAAATCTCAAAAGCAAACCAAAAACAAAAATAAGTTAACCAAACGACAGCTAAATAAGACAAAGGCGTAAAAATTGAGAAAAAAAAGTACCTTGGTGGTGCTCTCGGGGAGGAGAATTCCGGCGGTGGTTTTGGAAGGCGGAACGATTTTCTCAACCAGCACGCGGTTCAAAAGTGGAAGCAGACGCTTGGCCATTTTCTTGGCTTATTCTTTTCCTGGAGAACAAGAAAGCTGAAAGAGAAAAAATTTGACTGTCTGCAACTTGCAAGAGGATAGGGTTTAATAGCAGGTGAAAAGGGGTTTTTCAAAACCAGGGTTCTATGAAAGTACTAGAATACCCCTCTCGTTGGTATAGACAGTCTTTGGAATAGATATAGATGAAAAGGTTGATATAAATTTTGATTCATTGCAGATATGTTTTAACATTTCTTAACAATTTAAGAAAAAAAAAATAGAAACAATTGAGTTATGTTTAGAGGTGGAAACGAGTCGAACTAAATTGAACTCGAGCTCAACTTCAAATCTTTATTAAGCCGAGCCTAGCCGAATCGAGATCTACGCGCTATCAAAATGAGCGCCAAATCAGCTCGTTCATCAATATTAAGTTATTAACAAGATAAGTTTGAGCCCTAACAAGATGAATTAAAAAAAAGTTGTATAAATTTTTTTATTTGTGAGTCGAGTTGCGCTTACGAGCGACCTCTCTTGTCAAACTGCTCTAGTTATGCTACATATCTAATATAGTATTGGTTTCTACATTATTGCATCTTTGAAATCAATAATCTCCACTTACCCATCAATTTTCCATTATTTATGTCAAAAAAAATACATATGAATTTATATTAATGGAATTTATGAAAAGAATTGAATTTCCCATCTGATAATATTGGGCCTCTAACTGAATTTCCTCATATAGTGACAATTGTTAACAAATCAACTGTTCGAAATATTGTTAAGGGCCTTACAGCCATTTGTCATCTTAGAGACTATGACTAGTAGTTGTTCAGCCCAACATATCAAACTTGCCAAATTTGAATTAGAATTTACAGTATAAAAGTCCATAAGGTAGTGGGCTTATCCAGCCCAATATAATTTTCAACTTAACCAGCATAAAGTGCAACCAGGCCTGGAACAGGTATGATATAATCAGTTCTG